GTTTGCATAACTGTCTTGAACTCTCCGAACCCTCCTCTTGTTTAGATTAGGCTATGTAAACACGGAAAAAGTGCTCTATTGGTTAATTCAATATTAAATTGTGAGTATAGCATTTTAATAAGGAGATTGATAAGACGTTAGTCAGTCAACTACACAAACTACTCAGAAAAAAAATTTCCGTGTTCTGCAAAAAAAATTCGAGCTTATAAGACCTTACGCATACCGGCCGGATGCTCTGCCGCTGAACTACAGAAGATCAGTGGTAGCTAAGCCATAGCAGTACTAAGTTAAAGTAGGAAGTCTACACGTAGCCGCATGGCCTCAAGTTTTCTGTAGCTCAGTGGTAGAGTATGAAGGTATAGATCTGACTCCTGTTGGGAGAATTCTCTCAATGTTATTAGCTTGTGTTGACATATACCACTATACAACAGAAAATGAGACTTATCAAAAAAACTTACAAGTGTGCATTTACGAAAACTGACAAACTGTAGCACTAAAGTACTCCACTTACGACAACAATTGATGCTGTGAAGTATGGCTTGATCTAGACCCAGGCTCTTTTCAGAGACAAGCTTCATCTGTTTGTTACCAGTCTTCAAGGTCGTCGTTATTTCCTGATCAGGGTCTGGGACTGACTCGGTGTTTGGCCCAGCCTTTGAGCCTGATGACTTACTGGATTGGTCCTGGCCTCTCTGTGACTGCAGATTATAATACAAATGACGACAGTTACACAGAGAACTGAGCAGAATCAAATTTGGATTGTATTCAGAGTGCTTAACAAAATCGGAAGACCGGAAAATTTGATTATAATTACAGACAGAATCGGACGACAAAATTTAGATTCAACCCACGAGTGGTTTACAACATTCTGATAGCCCAGTGGAGGGGCATTATTGGAAACGGGGCGCTTAATCAGGGAGGGGTGTGACTTTTTCCCCCTTGAGCGTCTAACAAAAGCCAGACCCATGGCGGAGACGGAGACCGTATCGCATCGCATCGCGTCGTATTGTATGCTACCATGGAATACTCTTTCCTACAAATAGGCTTACATCCCCGGCCTTTTTACATAGGAGTCCCCTCTCCGTCCCCCACGGGGTCTGCCGGTTACCTTACCTCAAGTAAGTATCGATCATCACACAAGTCTTCTGGGTCATCATATTGGTGATCTTTAGTGAAAACCAACTTCTCACCCACAATACCAAACAACTGAGGAAAGAACATCCCCTGTGAATAAAGGAACAGCTCTTAGACAAGTTAAAGTGACTAGATCACAGTATTTCAGGAAATTATTTTATTTATGTCAACAACTATGTGTCCTTAATATTGGCTGAGCTGTCGTCTTTTATTGCCAAAAGCTCAGCTATGTATCAAAGAAGGACTTTTTCGCAGCATTATAAGTAATACTTTCATAGAGATTAACATTACCCTTATGCAATCCGATTTAATCTTCTCAAATTTTGCCCATCCATGCCCCATTTAGGCTTTTCTGTGTTACTTCTGAGTTCTTTTTACTGTTTTAAGCCGTTATTAAAGAGTTTCAGTGAATTCTACGACCAGTTGGTAAGAGCTAAAATTGCCAAAAATTGGTTGGCTTAGTACCTGGTGATAGCTTATGACCACCTAAATGAATTCATGCGTAAGGAATCAACCAAGACCAATTTTCATTTGCAAACGATTTACAAAACTCGCCTTCAAAAATCGCCGTAATTAATGTTCAAATGTNACAACTTATAACGATAAGCTGTCGCGACATCGCCAATAAATGAAAGTTGAAAAGTTGTGCAGTGTCAAGTGACCTTCGAGGCAAAACTTCCGAGGAACTCATCCGCTTAAACCAGAAAATGGTATCTTTGGCTCTGCCACGCGCCAACGATATTCTCCCCTGATTTTCCTTGTAACTCGCTGGTAAAGTTTCGCTAATAATTTTAACCAACAAATTGGCCGCATTTTTCTATGGTCTACACTCTTATAGACCACAAAATGAAGCCATAAAAGCTTTGCTGAAGGTTTCACTTTAGTTTTGAACACTGTAGAAAAGTCATGGCCTAAGTTCCACTCCTTTTTCAGAGGACTAACAATAGACTGTTTTTCCGAGTAGCTAGTGTTGCAGACTGTGTAACATCTTTATCATTGTGTAATGGGCATCACTTCTTTCCATACATAAGGAGCCAGGGGAGCCAGGCTCTTAAGCCCCTGATCTCTTAAGTTACACTCTCAGTCAGATGCCAGCTACAAGTATCCGTTTCAAAATCAATCCTAAATTCTCCTTGCTTATAGGTCCGACAGCGTCCTCCACTTGTAAAAGTAAAAGATTATAACTAAGGGATAGTTTTATATGCTGAAGGCCTCTTAGATGGAACCAATCCAATGACTCGTGGAACACAAAAACTTTATTACCTGACTTAGATGACAGAACGTTTCCTTTAACTCGTGCAAAAGAAGTACATCAAGCCTATTGTTGATATCACACTCTTTGTAGGGAAAGCTGACCTTAATCCAAATGAGATAAAATGTATTAGCTTCATTGTACTCCGCTCTTAATCATTATAACTAAACTCATAAGGTCCCACGGGTCTTCAATCTGAATGTTTAAGTTACAGATGCCACTTTAGTGCCATTTCTCTTTGCGTCCTGTCCCCTAGAGTGATAGGGGACAGGAAAACGAGACCTTGAGAATAAGGCTGCTCAAGTGCCACCCAAGGGGTACAGTTGACTCGCTCAAAGAGGACACCACTGTGAGCCAGACACCTCAGGTGACAGACATGAGAGAAGTGTCTGACAATGACTTGAGGATGATTGTTAAATAAAACGTTGAAAAGAACTCCCCAAGTACAAGAAGCTATTCAATCCACTGCACCATGTGCCATGCGATGTGTATGATGCATCATCTCTGTCATGACTTTACAGTTGGTTAGATTTTAGCCCTTGAACATTACTTACTCTTCTCAACAACCAGTAGAAGGATCTTGTGATGTCTCTCCCTCCATACTGGAGCCACAATCTAAAATAACACTTGAATCAGCTCTTGCAAAATAAGAAGCCTGGCACAAATCACTTTGACTTTCTTTGCTTCATTCTTAAAAGTACTTATCCATGTGAAACAAAGGAAATACAAGACAACTGCTTGTGGCATAAAAATAGGCTCAAGTCTAATATTTGGGACTGCAGATGTCTAAATGTAGAAAGAACATCATTGCCTTGGGTGCCACTTTTTTGTTCTTACCACATTTTGATATCATCTGTGATCAATTACTGAACAGACACACAGCAAGATGGAATCTATTTTATTAGATTTATACATATATAGTTGTATTTCATACATTGCTTTAGTTTTGTCTTTTGTAATTTTTGTTGGAGGACACCTCTGTAAAGCACTCTCTGCTGAAGTAGGTATCCTCAATAAAGATTCATTCTACTACTTGACAACGACAGGATTCAGGTTGGATTTGAAGAAAACTCCTGAGATTCCTGAGCGACTTTTTTGAAGAAAGGTGGTCGAGAGAGGATCTAACAATTAAGGTTCTGTCAAGATTGTTCATCAAGTTTACTCTCTGAGGTAACTCTGTACAAAGTCAATATAGACATGCAAGTTTTCACTATGACTAAGGTTGCACAGTAAAACCATAGGGCTTTTTAAAATATAAGATGTATATTGAAAACATATATATATCAAAACACAGGTTGAAAATGACATATAAAATTGAACATAGTTTTACCGTGAACTTGGAATGACAAGACCATCTTCTACACAGCAGATACTTGTCTTCTCATCTCCAACATCCACTACACAGGCAGCACTCAAACCACAACCAAACACTGAAGACACAGACTCCTATAAGCCATAAACAAAGCTTTGATTACAGAGATTGACAACATGAATGTAAGGGTAGTTGTCCTTTTTTATTAGTGCCTTACATACTGGATTCTAGATTGAACCAGGTTTAAGTCCTGGCTTGGCTGGGATTTCTCTTAGACCAGACAATTTACTCTCACGGGACAAAAGAAAATAATTTCCTTGACTGTAACAAGATTCAGTTTGATTTAGTGAGCAATTTTTGTCAAGGTATATTTTCATACATTTACTTCGAACATATGCCCTAAATACAGACACAGATCTGGATACAATCATGTATTTATCAAAAGTCAATCACAAGCCATTGAAACATTTTATTTAGAGTACACAAGGACACATATTCAAATCAGTGGAGCATTTTTACACCAGTGTATATCGCACACCAAACCATAAAGCAATGTGAACTAGCCACCTCTACTAAGAGAACTTTGCATGTATGCCAACTTTCCCTTATTATCCATGAGTCTTCCAGATACAGACAGAATCTCATGGTCTCCAGTGCAAGGCTTTTCAGGACAAATGGAAACTAACTATCACATGAAACAAATAATGTAAACAAACATGACATGGTTAAAAATCTCAAGTGGCAGGGAGGCAGACCAGTTGGCTATTTACAAAACAGCCAAGAAATTGAACTTTGGATTACCGAAAACAACACCAGCTAGTGGCCAGAACTGGACTGTAGTGGTCACTAAAAAATACTGTGAAGCACAAGATGCTGACCTTTCTGCAGGGTGCATCTTCATTGTCCTTTACAGAGGCTCAGGTGGGTCAAGGGGAGGGGTTGAGAGGGCTGCAAACACCCCTCCCCCCATTCAGGAGTTCCTGGATACACCCCTGATTCAATAGAGCTCTGCTAACAATAACAGAGTGATAATTACTGTTTTACAGTTTAACTTCCCCTTCTTACCTGGTGGATGATGGCAGATGAAAATCCAAGTTTACAAAGTAAGATGTTCATCATCTCCTTGATATGGTTCTTGTCAAAAGAGTCAGGGACCACTAAAACAGCTCGATAGTACTAATAAAATAACCATTTGTTATTTTAGAATAAACAGTAGCAATGAAAAAACATGGCATTTCCAAGACAACAGTCAAATTATTACAAGATTGGCAACTTATATATAGAAATGAAAGTGTGAAACTACATTAGCAGAATAAAATGAGGTGCCGAAACTCAAACAGACTACATCCCAGTTTTGTGCATTAGTGATGCAAATTTTTATCCGTCGAAGACCACCTGTTGAAATCTTATGTCTTTCAATACTTCTTACCAGAGAATGCTATATTCTATATTATCAAAGTTAATTTTGCTCAGATTATATCATGAGTTTTCATACCAACCCCTAGATCACGTAGTGGAATAGTCAAGGCAGTCTGTATAGCATAAGCCCACAGGGTCTCTAGATCAGCACAGACTGCTGTAAGTGAACCTCCTGCTCCACTGTGAAGATTCAGATGTCCTCCTTTCACCGGCCAGTGAAGGGTATATGGTTCATTGGGATGAATGTAAAGAGCCTGAAATAATTTGATAAATGCACCTTGCACTTTGGTTCACTACTACTGTTGCTAAATAATAACACTCTAACAAACACAATATACATACATGTACATGTACCATTTAGGTATGCACTGCTGTAATATGTATATATAAGAAGAAAAACCTTTCTAAAGTTTTACATGAGGTTGCAAACAGTACAAAAAAGAGTTTATGGGAAGCCAATGACCCTTAATGGAAACCAAAATTGCAGCTTGAGTAATTAACAATAAAATTTGTTCACATTACGTTCTGAACTTCAAACTCTGGTTGTATCTTATCTGCAAGTCTTTCCCAGCTCCAATTGTTTGCATCACTGAATATTTAAGGTTCAGTTTATTACTTTAACATCAATTGAAGGGGTAAATGGAATAAAGCCCCAAGTGACTTTTGGAAAACGTTGAGGTAACCAGGATTGAAATACCTCCCAGCCATTAATACAGTTTACTCTTGTCTTCATTATGGTCTAAAAGAACTAGTAGTAATTGCTACTTTTTTGAGACAATAACTAAACCCAGAGTAAACTGTGAAAACTGCTGGTATGTATTTCAATCCTGGCTGCCTAGAAATTTTCCAGAAGTCACTTAGGGCTCTATTTCACGTACCCCTTCAATTTATGTACATGAAAGCTCAAAGAATGATAGTTCACACAGATCAACTTGCTTATTTGCAAAAATGTTTTACTTTATAATCATTCATGTTTATTCTATTTCTATTCCTGTCTCATCATTGTACCTATTCTTAATTACATAGACTTTGTCTAGACTTTTTAAACAAAATCAAGAACTGGACTTACAGGTTCACCAACAATGAAAGGAGGTTCTGAGCTGGTGTCTGTCCATTTGATTGATGACTCATCCCCGTGGTGAAGCTCAGCATCAACCTTGGCATTAAATGCTGACACCTGGGAAGCATAGCTGTTGTTATTGTTTTTTTTTTTTGCAGCCTTGTTTTCTTAATTCAGTATGCTGTACAGATAATTTGCCTTTACCTCTGTAATCTATGCAAATACAGTCGAACCTCCCGCAAGCAACCACCCAAAATGTCAAACCTAGGTGGTCGCTTACATGAGGTGGTTGCTTATGAGAGCTTAGACCACACTGGGTCAAAATTTGGCCTTATTAGCATATGGTAACTGCAGAGACTTGGCCTGTGTTTCAATGTTTTATTCATGTGAAAAGTCTATTTCAAGAGAGAATCCAGATTTTCCTATTGAGAAATGTCCGTCAGTTGTACTAGCCAGGAATACGATAATGTTATGTACAGCATCTTATTATCCAATTTCAGCTCTATGATCTGTCAAGTGGTCGCTTACGGGAGGTTAAAATCAAAAGAAAATTTCAAAATTATAGCTCTAAAAGTGGTCGCAGTCGCTTAGGAGAGGTGGTCACTTACAAGAGGTTCCAAATTATATAGTGACTTGACTTGGAAATATTTGGTACTTTGGAAAACTGGTCGTTGAGGAGAGGTGGTTCAACTATACACCATAATAGTCTCTCCCCACATAATAAAAGTTAAGTCCGCATTAGAGCCTTGCTTTACCACTAGTACTAAAGCACTTTGATATGCGATTAGAACAGTGTACCAGTAGTCAAGTTAACATTCTCATAACTAACACAAATGAAATGTATGTGGAAATCAGAATATTTTAATCCTAGCATTTAAAGAGTGAAGTGGCTTGTCCCTCACCTGTGAAACTGTTGTTTGATGCTTCCGAGAGCCAGGTGAAGTCTTCCTTGACCAAATAGCTTGTTCTATAACACTGAGAGCAAGCTCTTTTTGTGTTTCGCTGTCAGGATGATCAAGTCCATCTCTCACAAGTAAGCTTTGATCTGGGAGATCAGCAGTGCACTGCGGAGGTTTTCTCCAAGCAATAACATGAGGAATGCTCTGTGGCAGATGGTCAGTGGCACGACCCAACCACATGGAGGTTGAACCAGGATGAAGAATTACAACAGTAGAGGCCTGCAGAGGCTAATTATTATAAAACATTTTTCATTACATAAGACCATTGATTAATAAGAACCAGGTGGGGTAAATACCAGTTGGCACACAATTTACATGGTGTATGTACACCAATCCAAAGATCTTTAAGTTGTGGGTTACAAATCTTGCAGCATACCGACACACAAATATGGCCTTAGGCATCAATCATTATGTCACTGTATCAGTGCTAAACCTTAAAATTTTCTAAAGCTTACTCCCTCATGGGCAAAATTTTCTGAAAGTGCTCTAAAGCTTGTTTTAAAGGGATAAAAATGTGTAGGACTAGATTTACTTTATTTATTTCTAATGTGAACATGAGAGGTTCTAAAAGTCTCAGAAAAACTATTAAAAATGTTTGGCATCTTTTGATCTCTGAATATTTTCTGAGTGGTAATATATAAATTTAAGGGCTTTTCATTGGGTAATGATAAAAAACACTTTTTTAATAATAATAATACATTTTTATAGTGCTAGTTATATACAATATTCAAAAGTGCTTCACATATCATGATAAAAAGTCACAATTAAAAAATAAAATATGCTATCACAAGGCTAAAAACAAATGTAAATTTAAAAGTAGACACTGAACGTTTTCAGACTTTAGACTTTCCACTTAAAAAATAAAAATTATCATTAAACGTCATACCCTGTTTTAAACAAAAATACCTTCCCAAATGGTGCCCTGACATGATAAACAACAACATAAACAACAACATAAGCTGTTTATCGACATAAAAAGCTGATCCTAAAGTTTAAATCAGAGTACCATTAGTACTTAACATGTTCACAAAATGAAACAATATACAAATCTAATACTACAAGACGAAAGCTATACATCCTTTGCTGTCTCAGTACTCACCCAAAAAATGGGAGGAAAGAAAGAAAAGAAATTATAATTTGTTTTCTTATCAATTTTACGCATCAAGTTGAATTCTTTTTGTTGATATTTTTTAATATTTTGGCCCTTCATTTATTCCACTTTAAATAAACAATGTCTTGAAACCTGATCTTGTGTCTGTGGTTACTGCGCGTATGGTTTATTTTTGTGCTTTTGCTCTCTCTGAAATATTTCAAAACACGCCAGGGAATTAGGGGTGGGTCATGGGCAATTTCATGCAGGCGTCAAATGGTTAAATCTCGTCAATGGGGGGAGAGTGGATATGAGATGAAAATGTCCCGAAGTTTATTCTTCATTTTACCTGGCAAACTCAATGGCTGTCACCATGTAAATTATTCACTCTTCAGTGTTTTGTGTATCCCTTCTGTGGATACACATAAGCTTAAAACTAGTGGTATGTGTGGACGGATACACACATTATTAAGACAGGACATAAGACTGATAAGACTTAAATATCACGAACGCATATCAGTGTGACACCAAGGCTAACCATCAAGAAAAAAAAAAGAATGACTGTTTCACCTCAACTGATTCAGCTGGTGGGGGGCGTTCAATTTTCACTCCACGAGGCATTTCTGTTCTATGGTCGTTGTCTCTTAGTGTTGTAACAAAAGACGCAAAGTTTGCAGACCTCTAACCGCCATTTTGTTTTTTATATCTGAGCCTGCGATATTTTGAGTAGATACGTGGTGTAACGGCAGTAGTTTGCTATAAACTATATGATTGTTACACCACCTAGTTATTGGCAAAAGCTCGCTGCAATATGGCGGATGCCGGAGGAAGAGACGTCCAAGAAGAGAATGGCGGTGATATGGCCGAAGGGCAACGAAAAATGTCTGAACCAGCCCTACCTCTAAACAATCATCAAGCACAGAAAAGTGAAGCGTCGAAGAAATCATTGAAAAAGAAAGGTGAGTAGCTGAAATCAGCCTAAGTGTCTTCTATGATATTTAGCTCTTATTAACCGAGCAGGAGGNGTGTCTGCGAAAATTAGTCGACTCTTGACTGATTGTCGACTGAGATGTTGAGCGAGTGTCGATTGAGTGTCAACAGGGATGCCGATCAAGTGTCAATTGAGTATCAATCTCAATTGAGTATCAGTTGACACTCGACTGTGGATGCCTTCAATACACATGATCTGGTTATAACTTAAATCATGTGACTGTGTTGTTTCTGCTGCTTCTGTTGCAGTGGAAGTGTTGCTTAAAGCTGCTGGAGATGCCCCTATTATGGTGAAGAAGAAATGGGTGGTGGATGGATCAAAACAAGTGGCATATATTATAGAATTTATTAGGAAGTACATCAAATGTGAGCCACAAGACTCATTGGTGAGTTGACAAAGGGTGTAAAATCTCTTAGATACCAGGATGTTTCTGTAATTATTGGTCTTTTCATCATGTTCAAGCCCAGGACATTACAAATTGATCAAAATCAATTATCAAAAGCCTAAGTGTTCAATCAATATTACTGGATATTATTTGATAATTATTTATCAACTGGTCAAATAATCAATAAATGTTAACAATCTGTAAATAAATATCAATAATCCAAGAGCTGGGGTCAGATGATCAATGACTAGAGTGAGGCAGATCAATATTTACTAATTTACTAGACTGGTTAGAGACAAATGTTATTATCGATTTTGATCAATTACCAGAGTGAAACTAGCATATTTACATCTCAGACTGGGAAAACCAAATTATCCAGAATCAAATGAAAAATGATTAAAACAGTCCTAGTTGAGAGGTTAAATTTCGCTTGATCTTGATAATAGGGCTGTATTTTATGACCCTTAACGACATCCCTGACTAACTGTCACTTCTTTGTTATTAATGGTCGATTCTGTACATCAGCCAGGAATTTTTTCATTCCAGCTATGTGCAAATCCATATGTTGACTTTCATTGAAATCTTTTAATTATATGGTGTAGGTGTTAGAGCTCTCTTGGTGCTAACTCCAATACATCTTTCATTTCAGTTTGTTTATGTAGGTCAGTGTTTTGCACCAACTCCTGATCAGACATTACAGAACTTATATGATGTGAGTAGGTCATCTTATTTAAGAAATAGAAAACATTACCTGTTTCTATCGAGTTTTAGTATATTAATCTACTACTCTACTATCACAAGTGCTTTTCTCTAATTGACTACGGTACTCACTATCTATTCTGTTGTAGATAATAAATAGCTTAGCAGTGTACGCTTGTTGACAAGATGGCGGCTGCCTCTTTGTGTTTTCAAAGTGTATGTGTAGAGGATTTAGATAAAGTTTTGAATGACTACTTTTTTACATGAAATTTTTGTGATGCGTTTATTTCGCGATTTTGAGGTGCACATATTTTGCAACAATTAAATTCCGTGATTTGGCTAAAATTTTGTATTTTGAATCACTTTAACGTCGCATTTTTGAGTAACACACGATTTATTTTCTTGGCAGTGTTACTTAACATGTCCTTGAGTTTAGTAACCCAACTTTCTCAAAGGTACAGTAATGTCAAAATTAACGCAAATACAACAGCAGGACCATATATGTCAACAGTAACATAATGTGAGTCACTTAATTTTGTCCTCATGTTATGTTCACGTTTCATGTAATAAGTTACTAGATTTATACGAACACAATAATTATTAAATTATTAGATTATGCAGCGCTCAATTTCTATGCGTGATAGTTCATAATCTAATTGTTTAATAGAAACACCAGTGAAAGCGTGGGAGATTTTCAAGTTCTCCCAAACTTCCGTGTGTTTTTCTATCATTACGTCAACAGCTCGTGCTAGTTCTGCATTTATATCGAGCTATGGAAACACAATTTTAAACTAATCAGCTCATGTATTTTCTTTGGGTTGTTTTCTAAAATTAATCAGAGAGTACCCTATATTCCGAACCCAAAAAAATTAATGTCCTTTCTGGTTTACCAGGATAAGTAGATTTTACTGGCAGTCAAAGTAAGATTTCACACCACTTGTCCTACATGGACAAGTACTCAGGCACTCGTTCTACTGATGTATTGTGATTCCAAGGGGAAGTAGTAAACTTAGGCAAGTAAGTAACTGTCCAAGAAGAGCAAATTTAGAGTTGTTGTGCACGTAAGCCAGTCATGAGCTTGTTACATGCAAAGGTTCCACTGTGTAAATCGGCCCCAAGAATGCCCATGCTAAAACCTGTGTTGGACATCTATTACTATAAAACCTGTTTGTTTAGAACTCTGTAAGGCCACAAGACTAGCAGAACATGTTGATTGTACAAGGGAAAGAAATTTATCTTTTCAGTTGATGATTAGGATAAGTGAGTGACTCTACATTATTTTCTTCAAAGTATCCTCAAAAAGAAGTAAAGCATGTTTTCTGTTTATATTTATCTCAAGTGTGGAAACACTTGAGAAATTAAAGTAAATCGGGAACACGTAAAAAACCTGATCTGATGAAATTTTTATTGCTTTCACATTTTTGACTTTAGTGCTTTGGAGCTGATGGAAAGTTAGTTCTTCATTACTGTAAGACACAAGCATGGGGATGACAGAAAGTGTATATAAAGTAAAACTTCTAATTGTTTAACAATCATAACATTTTTAATATACTTGTATTAAATAATGCTCATTGTTCTCTAGTTATGAATTTCAACACTTGAGCTCTGAAAACTGTGACAGCAAGGAAATGTCATTTCATAACTGTAGGCTTCTTTAGTGAAGTAAAGTATACGGTAAAATTTTATAAGTAATGTTTAGGTGATCGTTTAGGTGATGGACCGTCACAATAAAGTAAAACTCCACCCTATAACTAACCTGCAGTGCAGGCATATTTTGGGCATGCGATTGCACATTTTCTTATTAGGCCACCATCTTGGATTTTGTAACTGTGGAGGATAGGGGCAAGGGAAAATTTGCCCCAACCCTCTACTGGTCAAAGCATCCAATAACAATCCAAGATAGCAGCATTGAAAACCTGGTTTATCTAGCGTTCTGTTCCAAAATAATCCCTGCACTTCAGGCTTGTTCCACTACCCGACTACCACCTGCCGACAAGATTGTGGTTGTCAGGTTGATGTGGTTAAATCTCCCCCTCCTACAATACGATAATAAGGTGAATGTCAAACGATCTGTCAAAATAACAGAGTTTTAAATGTCATTCATCTTCTGTCTCTCTCACCCGGGGATTTGGCTGAGGGCAGGAGATGACCGACATTTCAGGCTAGAGAAATGTAAGTGGTGACAGTTTTTGTGTAAAATGAATAACATGTAAATATTTTCAGTTGGTGTTTTGAAGTGAAGTGTAATCATTGTCTATCAAAATTGTCACATGTAATAGTAAGGAGACAACTATAATAGGCAGCTGCGTAGGTTGTTATTTTCTAGAGAAGTTCCTGAACTGTGAAAATGATCACATGGCTTCCTACTTTCAAAAATGAGAATTCTCTGGTAATAGCATTGCATAGTATCAAAATTATGACTTTTGTAAAGTTCAGTTGAATGTCCTGCTGAAATTTATGAATCTATGACTTACTGCACCTTTTAATAAGATGCAAACTTTGTTCAATTTTGCTGCCATCGATCATCTTAGCAGACCTCCCAGGAAACAGATGTTTACTTCAAGGGGTTTAAAAGGTCACATCTGTGGGTTATGATTGGTAGATCTTGATCCATTTTGTTTGTTTTTTCAAAGTTCATTGGTTGTCATTGTAATGATGATTGACTGTGGCCAAAAGTGCAACCATTGTTTTTAGTCAGGTTTTGAACTGCAGAGTTTACATGGTAAAGGCTCAGTAAGTTATTTGCATTACTACTGGCTATTTACATATTTCCTTACTACATCATACCTTTGGGGAGAAAAAGTATACTCTAGTATTTTAGGGAATAAATCGATGATGAATCAATGCACTTCAAGTGCAGCAGTCATTTTACCTCTGAATAGAGTTATTTCCTGATTCAGTCCCGGACAATTCTTGCATGTTTTTACAGTGTGACTCTACTTGATTTGGGCCTTTGGAATAAAACTGACCAATCAAAATGGTAACTGAGAAAAATGAATGCCGATCCTTTTTGCAATCAAGCCAATATGTGGAAGCACTACATTAAAATTTAAACCAAGGATTCAAGACAAGGAGAGGTCTGTTATCCTTGAATTTATACACCACTTATGCCTCTATGTGGTATACATTTTTGTGGCAAATTATCACAAATTATTACTAATTTTACTTCAAAAATTTAGCTGGAAAACTTGCATTGAGATGGCCAAACCAAAACTGCTGAAAACTTCTTGAAAGTTAGAATTTATTAAAACTAGCCAATCAGAAAATGACAGCATTTCCTGAATGATCCGCAACATCTGCAACTCCGTTGGGTATCAATTTCTTTTTGTAGGACAGCAGTTTGCATTCTGTAACATCGTAGAACATGGGTCACCATCCCTTGTTCTCAAATCATGTGATTTGTTAACTTTGTTCCAACTGGTCTAGCCTGCATGGCTGGCATTCAAAGGGGAGAGAGAGGGGGAAACTTGAAGTCTGTGAAGCACGATCGGGTTTCTCTCCCCTTCTGAATACCTACCACGCAGGCTACATTACTGGTCCAGCTCAAGCAGTCACACTATAATGACTAACTGTGGTCTGAAATGAAACAATAAACGTGTTAGTACATTAGCCATTAGCAACACGATTTATAAAGTATTTTATGAAAAGAAAATCTAATAAAATCGAAGATTGGACACACAAGTGTCTGCTTATTATTAGTTTAGACTGCAGTAGTGTCAGACGGGGAAGAGTCTCTCTCATTTTCTTAGCTCTTCTGAATGAGCCATGCGCATTCCTTGTATTCTGCATTATACCTTTGTACAGCCTCCCTCTCTTCATCCCGGGGGGAGGGGGGGGGGGG